CGTTGCCGTGGCAACAGATCTGCCACTTTGCACCACAACCTGAAAACTGACGCTTGCTTTCTGTGCTCGGGTCTCTCCTCTTCTCCTATGTCATGTGCTCATGGACCACTCTGTCCACCTTGTCCTCGCATCGTCAACTCAGCTTTCCCGACTTCCTGAATTCCCAGGGTAGAGCCGTGACCTGGGACACTTTTCCCTCTTCATTGCTCATCCAGAATGAGACTCTAAACACTCTTAGCACTCCTCAGTTTATACCACTTGCCCTAATCTCTTTCTGAAATGCTGAGTGTAAGTGACACAACCCCTGCCCCTGCAGTGTGCTGCGGGACGTGCTCAGCTCTAGCTGCCTGTTCATTGTGCAGACATGGTGTTTGTTCACTTATTGTGTTCTTCATGTGCCACTTTTCCTTTAGATTATGCGCTAGAGGGCAGGAGCTGTCAGTTTCTCTTCGTACTAGATAAAGTTCAGGAAGACCTTGATGACCTTATTTGGGATGATTACATTTTCTGAATAATCTCAGTTAAATAGAAAACCCTTTTTTTTAATTTGCATACTTGTAACGTTATAGCTATATTTTATTTTATTTATTTATTTTATTTATTTTATTTTTTATTTTTTATTTTATTTTATTTATTTTATTTATTTTATTTATTTATTTTATTTTATTTTATTTTATTTTATTTTATTTTATTTGTGAAGCATAAGGAACCTAACTAAAGATTTGACTTTCTGAGGGTCACAGTTAACATTAGTAGATGTAGTTGAGGAACCTTTCATGTTGACTCTGATGTTAGTAAGTGTAGACCATCCACAGTGTAGAGAACACGCAGTGCACTGTGTGTTATAGGAGTTGCATTTTTTATTAAATATCTGATGTTAGCTTGCTTTTATGAGCTGACTTCACCGCTGGTATAAAAAATACATACTTATTGTATCATGCACGGTGAGGCACTTAGATCTAACTGTGATGAGTGACTCTCTGCAAGGTCCTCACACTGATCAGGCCACATTTCAAGGATAAAGTCGGATACAGTGTCCCCACCCTGCCTCCAGTTTGCAGATATCACTTTAATTTTGTTTTACAAGTACATTTTGCTTTGTAATGTACCTTCAAAACAAAATAAATGTTTTATTAACTAGATTTTTTAAAAAGTTTTTCAGATTTGTTTAACTAAATATGTATTATATGTCTGACCAAGAAATGGAGATAAGCATGGTTTTTCTGTTTTTAGGAATTCTTTATTCCTGAACATATTTGCTATGTATTCTTTCCCCACAGACTCAAAAAAATGCCCCAGTCGATGCCAGAATATGCTCTGACTAGAAACTACCTAGAACTCATGGTGGAGCTTCCTTGGAACAAAAGTACAACCGGTGAGCCAACGAATCACAGCTTTGGTGCCACCTGACTGTCACTCAGAGCCACACAGAGTCTCCTGAAACACTCCCCATCAGTTGTCTTTCTGCTACATTAGTTTTTGATGTCAGTCACTTAGAGACTGAACCGGTATCCCCTCGGTCTCAGATTTAGATGGGAGGAAGGTGTACCTGAAAGTGCCTTGTGTCGGATTTTAGAGAAGTGGGGTTTTCTGGGGTTGGTGAGATGTGTTTCTCGGTGCCATTTGGTATGGAGAGCCCTCTCTTAGCTCCTGACTCTCCAGGGTCCACCTCTTAGGTGCAGTGATCCTGCTGAGAGAGCTGGACAGGCCCTGCTCCCTGCAGTTCAGACCTGGAAGGAAAGTTAGCTGCTCTGCTTCATTTCCTCTGCCCAGCTTCTTTGTTCGGGTGTTTTTGCTGGGGGGAGGTGTCAGTGATGCATTTGTGATATTTTCTCCCTGGAGGACAGGCTGGTGCTCAGTTTGGGAGCAGAACAGCTAGATAACTTGAGAACACCAAGAGTCATATTTGGAGATGTGGCGTTTTCTCGGTAATACTGTTCTGTGTGGCAGGATTTATTTTAACTAATGACTTAAGAGAGATGCAGGGTGCACATAGTGTAATGGCCTGAAGATAATAAAATTAAAGACCCGAGCCAGAGGTTTTACGGGCTTATACCGGGTAGTTGTAGAGATTTGCGGGCAAAGTGTTGATCTGAACGGAGCTGACTCCCATTTTTCACAATACCAGCCCAGACGATGGGAACCAGGGCAGGGCAGTTTCCATTTCACAAGGAGAGAAGGGGCCACCCAGGTGCCAGAAACTGAGAGCGTGCTTGTGGGTCCTCAGCGAGAGCAGAACCCTCGTGGGCCTGGGTGAGAACACTTCTCCCGCGGCAGCAGTGCCGCAGGGAGTAGAAGGTGGTGAGTAGGGGCAAAGGGCCTGTGCTGAGCACCTAAAGCAGTCCTGCGTAGAATTACGTCTAAGGAATTGTGAGTATGGTTAGGAAACCACGACCGTGCCTTTCATAATTCTTCAGAGAGTCGCCCACCTCAGCCCAGGCTATCAAAAGCAGAGAGGAAAGCAAACGAGCTGGAGAAGATAGGTCTCTAATTTCCCATCCTGAACAGGAGCTGGTAGGGACCATCTCAGACTTCCAGTTGTAAATAGGAAAATGTGTGGTCAAGTGAGTTTTAAATGTTTTACTTACAACCACAAGTATAATTCAAAATAGGAAGCATGGCCTAGCCAGCGTGGCTCAGCGCTTGAGCATCGACCTATGATCTAGGAGATCGCTGTTCGATTCCTGGTCAGGGCACATGCCTGGGTTGTGGGCTCAATCCCCAGCAGGGGGCGTGCAGGAGGCAGCCGATCAATGATTCTCTCATCATTGATGTTTCTATCTCTCTCTCCTTCTCTCTTCCTCTGTCTCTAAAATCAATAAAAATACATATATTTTTTAAAAAAATAGAAAGCATGTATTCTGAATCATAAAAATAATCAGAAAAAAAATATGTCGTGTATAGAAAAGACACAAAGCAGTAATTTATATAGTACGGAAATGATCTTTCTTTAGAACTTACTTTTAAAATAGCCCGACTGGGCGTGGCTCAGTGGTTGAGCATCGACCTAGGATCCAGGCAATCAGGGTTCGATTCCCAGTCAGGGCACATGCCTGGGTTGCGGGCTTGATCCCCAGCAGGGGGCGTGCAGGAGGCACCCAATCAATGACTCGCTCATCATTGATGTTTCTATCTCTCTCTCTCCCTCTCCCTGAAATCAATAAAAATATATTTTAAAAAATAATAAAATATTTGGCATTTTTCTAGGAAGACTTTCCTTCACAGTGTTCTCTGTTTTTTCTGAATTACATAGAATTTTATTTTTAGTTTATTAAACCTTAATCAGGAGTGGGTATTGTATTGTAAAACTGCCTTTTTAGGTACAAAGTGACATTTTGATGGAAAGAGTTTCTCTAGATATGGTAATATAATAAATATATCAGTAACCTAACATCAGCTCATCTTTGCACGACTAAAATAAATCCCACTGGGACTTTTTAACCCTCACCCAAGGATATTTTTTTCCATTGCTTTGCCAAGAGAGTGGAAGGGAGGGAGTAGAGGGGAGAGAGAGGGGAACATTCATGTGAGAGAGACACATCGATTGCTTGCTCCTGTACATGCCCTTGACTGGGAATTGAACCCAAGACCCTTCGGTGTGCAGTCCGATGCTCTAACCACTGAGCAACGTTGACCAGGGCTCACTGGGACATTTCAATATCTAGATACACAAAGTGAGATTGGCCTGGAGTTTTCTTTGTGTTTATTGTGCTAGGTTTTGATGTCAGGGTTGGCATTGCAGAAGCATTGGGAAACTTGCTCTCTCGTTCATTCATGTATTTATTAGTCGGGTTCTGAGTGAAGCCTCATCGCTCAGCTGGGACTCTCACTAAAATCAGTAGTCCTATAATGACATTACATGTGTCGCTGCTCAGCCAGCACTCTGCTTATAGAAGATTGGTGGAAGGAAGGAAGTCAGACATGTGGAGATTCAGCTGAAGGGATGTGCCAGGAAGAGTGCTTTACCTATAAAGATCTATAGACAGCCTGGTGCTCAACAGTAGAGACTTAGTTAAGTGAGTGGATAATTGAATGATGGAACATTGGGGAGCCACTAAAGTGTGACTGAAAGATGCGTTTGACACTGAAAGATGTCTGACACTTGAAGGCCTCATAAAATTACCATTTTGGAGAATAGATATGTAAGACGATACACACACACACAGCACCTGCAATAACACTACCAAAGGAGGTAGTGATGCCGCCACAGGGGCATGAGGTTGTGGGTGACTCTTTCTTTTTTATTAATGTCATCGGGTTTTCTAGAATGAGCAGAAGTAATAAGAAAAAAAAGCACTTAAAAAGGAATAAATGCCAGCACAAATAGAATTATAGAAATTACATTGCCATAGAAATGTGTATCTAGAAAATCATTCCAGATGAAATATGTGTATTAACTCCTTGAGTATTTGTGTAATGCCTACTATTTCTGTAGATACTAAATTTTCTTAAGCAAAACAACCCCCACAAGTTCCAGTCTCCCTAAAGACTCATTTAGAAGGATCCAAGTCTGTTCTTGTCACATCTTTTTCCTAAAAAAATATTTAGATTCTTGTCAGCCTTGAAAGGAGTTTTTCCATTTAAAAGTCCCATGTGCTGAGATGATTTCTGTTGGGTTATTCAACAGACCGTCTGGACATTCGAGCAGCCCGGATCCTTCTGGATAATGACCACTATGCCATGGAAAAACTGAAGAAGAGAGTGCTGGAATACTTGGCTGTCCGACAGCTGAAGAACAACCTGAAGGGCCCCATCCTGTGTTTTGTCGGCCCTCCTGGAGTTGGAAAAACGAGTGTGGGAAGATCCGTGGCCAAGACTCTAGGGCGAGAGTTCCACAGGATTGCGCTTGGAGGAGTATGTGACCAGTCCGACATCCGAGGACACAGGTACAGTTCTCTCGGTTAACCTGCTGTTCTTGCTTTTCAGTTGACTTGAGCACCCCAAAGCCAAAGCATAATGCACACCTTTTTCTGAAAGGGCTGTTTGGGATGCTGAGCGAGAGGGATGTGGAGCCTTGCCATAATGGGGTGCCCTCAGCTCTCCTGGAATTTTCACATGCTATAAATTAGTTATGACTAGGTATTATACTGCCTTATATCATTTGACCCAGTAGCATTTCAAAAATAATGGCCATAGCTCCTGCATTTGAAGAAGTGCAGCGAGGCCAGGGCAGGAGGGAGGAAGTGAGAGACCCTCGGTAACAAACGTGTTATGTTTGCAGTTTAAACTTGCTTTTAGGAGGGCTGGTGTACAGAAGGGTGTAAGTTATAAGGAGAAAGGTTAGGGTCATTTTTGAGGCTTATCCTTGCATTTTTGACACTTTTTCTGTAAAAATACCTTAAACTGTAAGAACTGAGTGGTTAACCAGACATTGCGGTCAGACTCACATGTGCGAGTCTTTGTCTCTATTCCCTGTTGCTCAGACTGGGGCATGTTTGGGAAAGCACGAGCCTCTGTCCTTCGGTTTAAGGGTTCATAGCAGTTGCAGGTTGTGAGATAATCACCTTCAGTGTGTGTGAAAGTGTATCATGCCTGCCCAGCCGGCGTGGCTCGGTGCCTGAGCACCGACCTGTGAACGGGGAGATCACGGTTCGGTTCAGGGCACATGCCCGGGTGTCAAGTTCGATCCCCAGCAGGGGGCTTGCAGGAGGCAGCCGATCAATGCCTCTCTCATCATTGATGTTTCTCTCTGTCTCTCCCTCTCCCTTCTTCTCTCTGAAATCAGCAAAAACATTTTTTAAAAATATAAAGTGTATCATGCCTTCAGGGTATCCTTGCACAGAGTGTAATGTAGTACACCTGAAACTGTAAGACATTATATGTCAGTTAAACTACAGTTTAAATGTTTTTAAAGAAACTGCCTAATTTCCAGTCAAAGTAATGAAACTGAGTATAAAACTTCTTTCTCAAGGTAGATCATGCCGCCCTGGCCGGTGTGGCCCAGTGGTTAGAGCATCAGCCTGCAGACTGAAGGGTCTCAGGTTCGATTCGGGTCAAGGACACATACCTGGGTTGCAGGCTTGATCCCCGGCCCGGGTTGGGGTGCGTGTGGAAGGCAACCAGTTGATGTGCGTCTCTCACATCGATGTTTCTCCCTCCCCCCTTCCTCCCACTCTCTCTGAAGAGCAATGGAAAAAATATCCTCAGGTAAGGATTAAAAAAAAAAGATAGATCACTCCCTCAGTCGTATTGCTGTAAAGGAACCCAGATTCTCTGTGAAGCTGCGACAGGCGGGCCAGTGCCAGCAGTGGGCAGCTGCCGTGGCCAAGGGCGACTTAAATCATAGTTTCAGTTTGGTGAATGTGGGTTAAACTTGGAGTGTGGGGAAAAAAAAAAGAGTATGATGCTTTTATAACACCTTTTCTATTTGCCTGTTCACAAGATCATCGGTCCTGGGTCAGGATAGGAAACTTCAGAAACTTACATGAAAATGGTTCTTTTTAATATTTTTATTATGCATTAAAGGAAAATCAGTCCAAACTTTTTGTAAATAAGCTGTGAGGGCTGCAGGTGAGGTCAGGGAAGCAATCTCAAAGGGCCTGTTACCTGGCCTGCTTGTCCTCGCTCTGCCACTAGAGGCTGTCGTTGGCTTTTGTAAAGAAATTGGCATCTGGGGCCAACCCTGGAGAAGCTGGATCCAGGGCTGAAATCTTCTCACTTTGGCTCCGGAGCTTTGGGGAGGTTTTCCTCGCTCACCTGACTTGACTGGTCCCTCGGATTGCTCTGGTTTACTTCTGCCCTGGTTAGCTGTAGCACCCGGTTGTGGAGCATTTGGTGGAACTCAGAAAGTGAGCTTGTGGAGATCCTGTCATGTGAAATGAAGGTCGCGGGTATGCGACTTACAGGGGATCTGTCTTCCTTTCCTTTTTTTTTTTTTTTTAAATATATCTTTATTGATTTCAGAGAGAGGAAAGTAGAGGGAGAGAGAGAGATAGAAACATTAATGATGAAGGAGTCATTGATTGGCTGCCTCCTGCACGCCCCCTTTGTGGATCGAGCCCGCAACCCGAGCATGTGCCCTGACTGGGAATCGAACCCCGATCGCCTGGATCCTAGGTTGATGCTCAACTGCTGAGCCACGCCCAGCCAGGCTGTCTTCTTTCCACATCGGAACTGACAAATCAGCGAGGCTTGGAAGTGCCCACTTGGAGCCTGGCACACAGGCAGTGTTTCATAAAAGCAGCTTTTGTTATTATTTTAACTAAATGCACAGGGGGACAGGTTTAGATCCACATGTTTCGATATAACTTTTATAAAATTCAATCTGAGTTTTAAATTGTGCCCAACAGATCCTGTTCTTGGCATGATTAATCTGTGTGGCAAGATTGTGGGAAATGTATTTTTATGATGCTGTCGATGGGCAAAATGTAATGTCATAGTTCTCAGCTCTTCTTGTGAACAGATCTCTGTTTTAAATCTACTGACATTGGTAGGTATAAAATGTGTTCACTTTTTTCCAGTGAATATACTTTAATGTGTGTGACTGTCGTTGAGAGAACTGAATATAAAGAAAATAAGAACTTGTTTTGTAAAAGAAGGTTGTAGTTTTGCCTGAAAGCTATAAAGTAAGCTTTTAGGTATGTGTGGCATGGACGGAGGCTGAGGTTGCTGCTGCTGTAAAAGGTGTGCGGGCCTGAGTCGCTCTGTTAACGTTAAACCTGGTTCCCGGTACACCTCGCCGGTCAGTGCCACTTAGCCACCGCGGCAGCGGGCGCTCCATTGAGACGACAGCCACCTGCCCCTGTGCCACTGGGGACTCAGAGCCTGGAGAGGACTCTATTTGAAAACCTGTTGGGAAGCAGGTGGAGAGTGGGGTGCGGCTGTTGGGGAGAGGAGAGGTTGGGAGCCCAGTCTATGCCGTGTCCGTGGTGGGCGGGGGAGGGGAGCACAGTGGGGAGGCTGGAGGATCATGGCGCGACCTTGGGGTGGGTGGGAGCGAGTACTTTCGTGTGACAGTTGGACGTTTTGGAAATGCCCAGGCCTTGGCATTGGAGTGTTGGTCACGTGCTCACAAGCAGAGTTCAGGCGGAGTTTGTTTTCCCCTGCCTCTGAGTAGGCACCACTGTTCTGCAGTTTAAAATAGCCGGGACAGACAGAGCTGCCCTGTGTTCCTGTCCCGTCCGTCTCTGGTTTGGTCCCGGGCTTGCCTTGTTTCCCCGGCTCCAGACTCCAGCCTTTTGCCACAAGTACCTGTTGATGTGTTAGGAATTGATTTTAAAAGTAGCCAAAGAGTTAAATGATAAGGAGGTGGGAGATGGGGAAGAAAAAGAAAGACTCAGTTACATTTAAATCTTAAACTGGGGAAGTAATAGTGGTCTGACGAGATGTCGGCCCATGGTTTTGTTCCTGTTCTTTTGAGCAGCTTGAAGGAAGAGCAGCCGCGTTTCTGCTCCGTGCTAACTAATGTAGGTTTTCTGTCTTCTCAACATTTCTCGCTTGGGTTTATCTCCGCTGGGATTTCTCTGTACTTTTGTAAGCCACAGAGTCTGTTCCCATCTATCAGTTCTCGCAACTTACATTTTTATATTTAAGTGTTACATTTAAATAATTTAATTCAGTTCATAGAAATTAAATATAATCCATGAGGTTGGCACTATTATCCCTGTTGTAACACATGAGGAAACTGAGGCTTAGGTCAAGCAATTTGTCTGAAGCAGAATTCAAAGACTGTGTGACCTTAACAGTGGTGATCAAAAGGTACTTTGGGTGCTGGCATCTTTGACATGGTGCCTCAGTAAATGGGAGAAACAGCCTCTGTTTGGGGGACAGCCTTGCAGCCCTGTGTCCAGCATCTGCTCTCCCCCATCCAGCTGCTCACTGGTTCTTTAGAGGAGACTATATACTTAGTACCTGTGATTAGAAACTAGGTTGGACATATGCATCCAATGATTGTGGGGCCACTAAATGCTGTAGACTCTGCGTTTTGGCACTTGGTGAGAGGTCAGGACGTTTCTTGGAGTTGCTGGGGTTTGCATAGGCAGAGAGGGTGTCACGGACAGGAGGCACCACGTTAACAAACGTAAAAAGGATACTGTTGTGGATGAAGCAGGAGCGTAGTGGCAGCAAGTTAGGAGGGCTCGGGGAGGGCTGTGAAGAGCCTGAGCTTCAGACAGAGGAGCTTGGACCGGACTCTCTGGGCTGCGGGAAGCAATGGAAGATTTAGCAGGAGTTGTTTGTATATGGTGACTGGTATCTAGATTTCTACTCCTTTAGAAAGGGCACCTGCCTCGAGTATTATTTTCTCTCCATGACTCTAGGTCTAGAATTTTCAAAAACGGGGGAGGAAAAGTAATGAATATAGCAAGAAATGACTCTTAGAGGCTTTTAGGGTTTTTTTAAAAAATGTCTTGTCTTCCTTCCCTACTTATCACAGAATACTGGCAAATCTGTCAGTTCTCTGGGGAATATTTCAGAGACTGTATTAATTTGAGTCTTGTCCTTCCTGTATCCCATTCTGAAATCTCAAATGTGCTAACTCCGCCTTGTAACTGACCGTGGTTATTGTGTCTGGTTCTAGGGCCTTGGTCTCCCTCCCTGGGTGAAGGGCATTCCCACGATATTTCTGAGGCTTTCTCATCGTTTCAAAGGTCACACTGTTTATCTGTACTCTGTACCAGTCACGTGGCAGAATGGAGGCTGCTGTGTGGATGGGGAGACAGCTGCCCCACTCTTCACTGACGGTTCTTCCAGGCATCACCCTTCGTCCCTTTCACAGACAGCACACGGCTTAGACAGCAGGTTGTAATTAAAGTTTTACCTATTGATTTTTAGAGAGGAAGGAGAGCGAGAGGGGCACTGATTTTGTTGTTGTACTTATATATGTGCCCTGACTAGGGATCGAACCCGCAACCTTGGTGTATCAGGACGAAGCTCTAACCAGCTGAGCTACCCGGCCAGGGTAGATTTAGTGCATTGCTGCTCACGATAGTGTGTGCTGGCTTTGTAGAAAAGGCGCTATGTCCGGTTGGACAAGCATAGTGTTTTTATTTCATGCCACACCGTGTACGTGTTGTCATCACATAGACGACCCCTGTTCAGACGTGGTGAAGCCGCCTGTACCAGTGTAATGCAGACCACAGTATCTGGCTCAACTTGGTTGTGCCAGGATGGACACAGTTTCATTCAGTGGCCAGGATTAGTGGAATTTTGATATAAATACTGTTGACTCCAGATCCTCTCACTATGAATAGTGACAATTGATTGCCTCTGAAAATAAAAGAGTTTGGAATTTTTCTTTTTGGGGGGTCCGCATTTTGAGTGGCCCTTTGACTGGATTCTGACTCCTTCATGGAGACGATAAGGATGCACCAGCCTGGGCAGCCTTTTCACTGTGCACAGAGCTGGTTGTGTTGGGGGCAGGGGTGCCAGGAGGGAGCAGCATGGGGATTAAAGTTTTATTGGAACATCTTGCAATCTCAAAGAGTAAGAGTCATAACTGTGTCACTTAAGTGTAATGTTTTTCAGTCACTAAGTGGCCAAAATTAGATACAGTTGCTCCAGTACCATGGGTGCTTACAACCGAACTTAAATAGAAAATAAGGTATGAATCGAGGCTAGGAGTGTGATGCACATGGGGCTTCGCGGCAGCACCGTGATAACTGAACGGCCTCCCCTCTGGCTTCCGGCTCCCGGCCTCCGAGTGGGGGCCGCTGGCCCTGACTGTCCTTTCCGCTCGCCCCGCAGGCGCACCTACGTGGGCAGCATGCCTGGCCGCATCATCAACGGCCTGAAGACCGTCGGGGTTAACAACCCAGTGTTCCTGTTAGACGAGGTCGACAAGCTGGGGAAGAGTCTGCAGGGCGACCCTGCCGCAGCTCTGCTTGAGGTGAGGCTTGGAGAATCAATCCGACTGCTGCCGTCGCAGCGTGGCTGCGAGGTCACCACACTCAGTGCACGTGCGTGGCTGTGGGCTAGGCCCGGGAAAACCAGTTTCAGACAGACTGAAGTCTGAAGCAATTCAATATTTAAATTTAAGTATCTTAGAGATTTCTTTTTCTAATAATTCTCATTTTTTTCTTGTTTGTTTTTATCAAATGGTTTATCAGAACTTTATGCATGCTCATTGTTTAGAGACCAGTAATCCCACAGGGTTATTACAGAAAGCAGCACCAAGCCTCCTTCTCCCTGGGGTCCCCCATGTCTTCTGCACTTCGGCCTTTGTTGGTTAATCCAGTGTCACAATGGCACGGCTGTGTTGCACATTTTACTTCTGTTTTGTGTATGTATGCCAACCCTGTTTATATCTATAATCCAGTGAAAGTGGCTGTGTGAGAGGTTTAGAGCTCGTGGGAGGCGCTTGGAACCTTCTTTAAAGTCCTCTGCAGGCCTCTCCCCAGCAGCAGTATAAACACGGTACCATTGCTCAGCGTCTTGGAATCTAATTGGCAAATTATCTAGTTCATCCATTTGAAATATTTTTAGTAGATACTGACAATGTGCTCATTAAAGTGAGTTTGTCCTTGTGCTGGATCAGAACATAGCAGCAGGGTCATTTTTACTGGTTTCCTCTTGTTTGGCACTCCCCTTTCAGTTGAAAACTTGTACCAGACTTGCTGATAATGTCTGAAGAGGAACATGCTAATTATTATGTTACCTGTTACCTAAGAATTTCAGAATTCTGCACACATTTCACTTTCTGTTCCCACAGCAGAGAGGGCGTGTCTCCAGGAGAGAACTGGTTCTGTAGGGTTGATACTTAGTGAGATGGCCACACGGTGAGTCACTAACAGAAAGATGGAAGAATAAGCTGAAGGGTAGTTTTTGCTTCTTTGTGCTTTTATGTTGTCAAAAATTTTGACATACAACATGTTCCGTTTTTATGAAAAATAGTATTTAGAATGAGGGGCATGTGAAGAGGAGGCCCGGTTTTAGCGTTGTCCCAGGTTTCCCAACTTACTGTATTGGGCAGAAATGCCAGCCTTGCTGATACATCATTTCTTCCTTCATAGGCTTTCCCTCGGAACCACTGCATTTGTTTAATGTCTGTTCTTCCCCCGTAGGTGTTGGATCCGGAACAAAACCATAACTTCACAGATCATTACCTAAATGTGGCCTTTGACCTCTCCCAAGTTCTTTTTATAGCAACTGCCAACACCACAGCCACAATCCCACCTGCTTTGTTGGACAGAATGGAGATCATTCAGGTGCCAGGTACTTGGTTCATAAAAAAGTTCGTTATTTGATATTTCTTGTCTTTCTGAACATAACCCTTTAAAATTGGTCGAGCTGTGGCGTCTTGAGTAAAAAGTTGCCATGTATCATCTTCCCAAGTTCCAAGTCAGCTAAATAAACCAGCTTCACGTAGATTCAAAGTCTGAACAGCAGGATTGTGTTTGCTTAGCCAGCACAGGTGAGCGTCTCAGGAATAAATTTTGCATAATAAGTTCAGATGGAACTTAGTATTAAAGAGTAATTAATTTTTTAATGAAAAGCAAGGCATTTTTCTTTGAAGCAATTTCTAAAATTATAGATTAAAATAATTTTTTTCAAAGTAATTCTCTAAAAACCAAAACCAGATCTTCACATGGTCAGTGTGGCTTCTTATCCATCAGATTTTGAAGTTCTCGCCGTCTCGTACCATTTCCTTGTACATCTTTTCTGCTATTTATTCCTTTTTCTACTGGGGCAGTGTACTCATTCATTCTCATTAAGTGAAGGGTGGTCACAAAGAGCGGCCAGACCTTACCTCGCCTCGCCTTCTACAGACGCGCAGGCTGCTTCACATTCCTGTTGGCTGCAGCAGCCACATAGGGGTTTTGTTTTGTTGTTTGTTTGTTTTTTGCAAAAAGTCCTTTAGTTACTAACAGTAAATAAATCCCCGTGTTTTCATCTTATTTTAATGTCTCAATTATTTTTCTCTAGAAGACAGCTGATATCAGTGGGTATTTGTTAAAATGAAACTAGAGTAATTTAGATTCTAATACAAGCTAAGCCCATATTTCATATCAATCTGAAATATAATTTTACTATCAAGTGAATGATAATTGTATTTCTTAGTTATCTGTGAGCCCTGCCAGTTCCTGTACTCATTTTAAAATAGGGTGGAGTGAAAAATTGCTTTGTGCATATTTATGAGACTAAAATAAGTAAGTCGCAAAACCCAATTGCCTGGAAACTCCAAATTCAGGCAGATAGTCATAAGATATACTAATGTGCAGGGTGGGCATGTGGTGGCACCTTCCTGCAGGCGTGGTTATCTTCTCTCTTACCTTTTCTGCTATTTATTTCCTTTTTCTACTCAAAAGATGTCTTATCTGTTCATCTTTTTAATTTTTGCGTGTTCAATGGAAAGGAGGCAATTAGTTTAGGGAGAATTTTGTCTTATAGATTTAAAGACAAAGGAAATCTATACTCGTTGAGCCTTTAAATAAACAAGAACATAAAATCTTTTAAATATATAAATTATATATATGACTCCAACTCATCAAGGGGAAAGTCTTTTATAGGACACCTTTGTCTTGGGGTTGCTTTGTTGCTAAAATTTATGTGTGGCTCTTCCCTTGGAACCCACTGCTTATTTAATTAAATCTGGTTGTGTTTTAAGTATTTTCAGTTATGTATCAAATTATGCTAAGAAAAGGGATGTGTTTCCTATTAAATAATAAAATAACTCAAATTTGAGCTAAGGAGATAATTATCTCTAAGGTTTGACTGAGGTTTTCTTCCTCTCCCTTCAGAGACATATCATTTAATCAAAAGACTTTCAAATGCTATGCTTAGTAAATGCTTGTTTTGATTGGGGAAAAGTTGGAAAATTTTTTTTTAATATGTTTATTGATTTCAGAGAGAGGAAAGGAAAGGGAGAGAGAGAGAGCAAAACATCAATGATGAGAGAGTCATTGATCGGCTGCCTCCTGCACGCCCCCTACTGGGAATCAAGCCCACAACCCCGGCATGTGCCCTCGATCTCCTGGATCATAGGTGATGCTCAACCACTGAGCCACGCCAGCCGGGCAAAAGTTGGAAATGTTAACAATTGCTGATTAGAGAATAAATTTCTTTATTCTGATTGTATAATCTTAGCTGAAATAATACTTAAGTTCATTCTTTAAAAGCACGGCACTGGGAAGCCATGTGAATAATTGCAAACCAAGGCTCCTTCTTCCAGGGTACACACAGGAGGAAAAGATAGAGATTGCCCACAGGCACCTGATCCCAAAGCAGCTGGAACAGCACGGGTTGACTGCCCAGCAAGTGCAGATCCCCCAGGTCACGACTCTGGACATCATCACCAGGTCAGTCAACAATGCTGCCGCTTCTCTAGATGCTGAGTCTGACACAGCAGCTTACTGCATCCATCACTCCCAGCGGGTGGCCAACAAGCATTCCCACCGTTAGCGGTTTGCAGGAGCCTCCGCATTAGGCAGGAATTCAGAGGGGCAGCATTGAGAGTATCTTCACAGCAAAGGACTCGACTCGGGCCAGAATTTCAACTCTTCCCCAGTAGCCGTGTAAGGCATAAGGGATGTATCTGGTACATTAAGACCCAAAACATGGAAAATATTGAGACAACTTGTATGGCCCAGATCTTAAAAGTTGAATTCTTTTAATATGTGAGATGCTGCTTTCAGACATCAGTTTTAAGTTATTCAGATTTTCTTTTCTTCTTTTTGAGAGATTTTTAAAATCCTTCGAGTTTTCATCTTCAGAATTAACGCTGGAACAATAGAGACGGTACCTTCCCAAGTTAGCCATCAAGTGTTCAAGCCTGTGGCGAGCGGCACATAAATTATCTCAGATTATTGCTCAGTCTGAGTTACAAACTGCTTGTTTGGATGGAAAGTGCACCCTGTTGAGAATTTGTGTCTGCAATAGCCTCTTACAGTTCTCCTGGCTGTTCAGCGTTGCAGACCATTGCATCACCTGGCCCATCCATCAGCCTGCCAGGCCCTCGCAGGCAGCCCTTCCTGGCAGCTGCTGCTGTTCAGGAGAAGTGAAATGTCTCCTCTTTTTGGACTCTGACTTGGAATTGGCCAGACTGCTGTTTGATCTAAGCCAGCCTTCTTTGGAAGTCTGTTTAAATTTACATACATAACAGGAAGACTAAATCTGACCTGGGAGTTCCTTTCGTTAACTTGAGATCTGCTGTGTGGATAATGCCAGGAGAAATGAATTATGTGATTTATATGCCGAAGTCCTCCAGTAGTAGCCTTACTCAGATCACCCCCTGGTGCCTTTGAGCAGCTTTCAGGAAGTCACTCAGACTCCGGTGGCGTTCCCACCTGTAAAATTTGAGTGATGGAATAAAATATCCATAGCTTATCTGGATCGAAACAATGGCTTGAAGAGGAATCTCTATTTGTATTTCCCAGTTGTTGCCTGAAGAACTATTTCTTTCCTATTACTTGTTAGCTCAAAACACCTGGTATTAAAAGTGATGGACATTAGAACATTTCTCTGATCAGTTTTAATATGTTTAAAACAACACAGGTATTTGCTAGAAAGTTCTGGCATGTTTTAGATGTTTACTGAGTGACTAGACCCAGGACATGGCTTTTCATCTCTGGATGTGTTCTCATCTTTTCCTGTGTCGTAGTCATAGACCCATAATGTTCGGGAGGAGGAGGGAGCTTAGGAGTCACCGCGGCCGGCTCTCCTCCCAGCATGAGTAGCTGCCTGCGATCCTCCCCTTTAGAGGGCTCGCTGCCGCCTGCTGGGCGAGGGGGTGCGATTTTCTAGTTCTGCCCTATGGGAGCACCTGGAATCTCAGTACAACTCCTCCCTGTACAGCCCTTCTGGCATTAAAAAAAATGCTGTCTCTGGTTCACAACCCGTAAATGTTCTCTTGTTCAGACTGGCCGTTCCTGCCCTCTTTCCCATTCCTCGTGACCCTCTTCACGGCTTCAGCATCCAGACTGCCTTCTGCTGCTGGACAGTGCAGCTCGGCCCTCCCGGCGTGAGAGGACCCGGCTCGCTCTCTCTGGCTGTGTTAGTTTATGACTGTAGCTCTGGATTCTTAGCTTCTTCGTGTTCTCTCTGTTGCACTCAGTTACAAACACCTTCAGTTCTTTTTCACGCGAGTTTCTGCTATGTTTGGCCTATACCATTCTGTATTCATAGGGCGGGGTTTTTTTAAGCCCAAATGTGGAAGTTTGCAATTTGTGTGTATTTTATTGTTAGTCTCTGCTACCATTGCAGCAAACCGATTTTTTGCATCTTACTGATTATCAAGGATGTTGGTTTTATGTCTTGCGAAAGTTGGCACCTTCGTGTCCAGATCATGCGAAGGAAACGAGCCGGTTCTTGCTGGACACTGAGGTGCTTCTCTTCACGGTGTGGGGGTACAAAATAGGGCGGGTGTCTCCTTCCTGCAGTCAGCTGCTCGCCTTGAACTGTCTGCATTGGTTCCTAGCCCCTTATTGTCCAAAATGCCTATGAAAAGGTATTTCATTGTCGCTGTTGTCTTTGTGACTGTCAGCTTGCTCCAGCTCACCCTGAACTTCCTGCGGCCGTGTCTGCGCATCGGTGGGTCTCCCTGTCAGCTTCCTCAGTCCCTCTTCTTGTCCCGTCCAGACGGTTCGTCCGAGCTGATCAGATGCTTGTCTGGGAAGCTGCAGCGGGTTTTTGGTCTTATTTTATGTGTTGGTTTATTTTTGTTGTTGTTAACCCTCACCCTAAGATACTTTTTCCATTGATTTTCAGAGAGAGAGAAGGAAGGGGGGAGAGGGAGAGAAACATCGAAGGGAGAGAGACACATCGATTGGCTGCCTCCCGCACAAGGCGCCCCGGCCAGGGCCGGGGATTGAACCTTACACCTCAGGTACGTGCTCCACTGGGAATTGAACCCAAGACCCTCCGGTGAGTGGGCCAACGCTCTGACCACGAAGCCACGCCAGCCAGGGCTGATTGATTTTTAAGATGCCGCCCTGTTTCCCTCCTTACTGGGGTTATGTGCGGCTGTGTACTGTGGTCTTTATCTTCACAGCCTCCTATCCTTTTGATGGGAATGAGTTTTACTTTTAGAGCGTTTTTCCAAGAGCTTTAATTTGTCTTTTTCCAGAACCTTAAAAGTCTGCTTCCCTCAGTCTCCAATATATGTCTGACTGCCAGTCAAATCCAGTTTTTCACATAAAACTGCATTCTGTACCTCATCCCGCCCACTCACACCCTTCCAAAGCTGCGTGGCCAGAAATGGCTGTACTGCGTAATGGCTTATGGATTTGAGGGGATCGTAGAGGTTTTGTAAGACAGCTCTGCTTAAGCACATGCAGTGTCTTTCACACAGTCGGGCGTTTGTGCCCCTCGGCGGCCCTCCGCGGAAGCTCTGCGGTGGAAACACACCCTGGAGGTGGCTCGCTCTGTTGCCAGTGCAAACTAGACCTCGGTCTCAGGTTATTTTTTGCTTTCGTGGGGAAAAAAGTCCTGTGTTTTGAATTTTTCAGCAGTATTTGAAGTATAATAAATCTATCTACAATTTTCTTAACTTGACTAATTTTGTTTAAGAAAGCACTTACACATTCTCAAAGAGAAAATGATGTCTTGTGTGCTGCCAACTTCACTTTGAAGAACCAAGAATTCACTTGTAAGTCTAGGGTAATAGTTCAAGAGACTGTATAGAGGGACGAGCTATAGCTGCAAATACATCTGCATCTTGCAGAAATGACAGTACTTTTATAAAGAACTTCTAATATTAGAGACTTAGTGCTCAAGAAAACATAATGAACTTTTAAATGCACACTGTTTACACATTGAGGGTAAATGCTAATCATGGTACTTCTGCCTGTTTCCACAGGTGGTGTTCAGCCCACACTAAAAGGTTGTTCTTTGATGGCAGGTACACCCGTGAGGCGGGCGTGCGCTCTCTGGACAGGAAGTTGGGGGCCATTTGCCGAGCAGTTGCCGTGAAGGTCGCGGAAGGACAGCACAGAGAAGCCAAGCTGGACCGTTCTGAGGAGGCAGAAGGTCTGACCCTGAGCAGGGCTCTCGGGCGGGGGAGGCGTCAGAGGCAGACGGCAGGTGAGGGCGGCTGGGCAGTCCTGAGCACTGGCACCCTGGTCCTGGTCAGCGCGCCCGGGGAAGAGCTGGCCCAGGAGGGATTGCGTCCAGAAGGCTCTCTACAGAGAGCACAGGGTATAGCTGGAATCCCTCAGTGTTAATGCTTTAAGGCAGCAATTTTCTTCTTTTTTATTTTTAAACATATCTTTATTGATTTCAGAGAGAGGAAAGGAGAGGGAGAGAGAGAGAGAGAAACATCAATGATGAGAGAGTCATTGATCAGCTGCAGCCCGCAACCCAGGCCTGTGCCCTGACCGGGAATCGAACCCTGATCGCCTGGATCCTAGGTCGATGCTTAACCGCTGAGCCACGCCCGGCCGGGCTAAGGCAGCAGTTTTCAACCATTTTCATCTCATGGCACATAAACTAATTACTAAAATTCTGCAGCACACCAAAACTACATTTTTTGCCAGTCTGACAAAAAAAAAGTATAATTTTGATTGATTTACTACTAATAATAATTACCTACCCTTTTTGCTCCAAAGTGACTTTTTAAAAAATCAGGTGCCTATACTTGTATATGAGGCTTTCTGGTTCCAAGGATTAACCCATCACCGCGACATGCAACATGCCCAGCAAGAGGCAGCTCTGCTGCGCGACCTGTGGTCTTCTTTCTTATTCTTTGTGTTCTTGGAGGTTTTCCCCTTCATTAAATTTCTTGTCATTTTAATAGGATTTAGAGAGGAAATTTAAAGATAAACACATGTTCAGACCACCATTTAAAAAATCAATGTTTTGCCCGGCCGGGTGTGGCTCAGCAGTTGAGCGTTGACCTGGGATCCAGGCGATCGGGGTTCGATTCCCAGTCAGGGCACATGCCCGGGTTGCAGGCTCCATCAATGACTCTCTCGTCATTGATGTTTCTGTCTCTCTCTCCACATCTCCTTTCCTCTCTCTGAAATCAATAGAGATACTTTTTTTAAAAAAAATCAATGTTTTGAAAGCACCCTGTGTGAGTGGTCTTTCCGCTCTTNAAGGACAGCACAGAGAAGCCAAGCTGGACCGTTCTGAGGAGGCAGAAGGTCTGACCCTGAGCAGGGCTCTCGGGCGGGGGAGGCGTCAGAGGCAGACGGCAGGTGAGGGCGGCTGGGCAGTCCTGAGCACTGGCACCCTGGTCCTGGTCAGCGCGCCCGGGGAAGAGCTGGCCCAGGAGGGATTGCGTCCAGAAGGCTCTCTACAGAGAGCACAGGGTATAGCTGGAATCCCTCAGTGTTAATGCTTTAAGGCAGCAATTTTCTTCTTTTTTATTTTTAAACATATCTTTATTGATTTCAGAGAGAGGAAAGGAGAGGGAGAGAGAGAGAGAGAAACATCAATGATGAGAGAGTCATTGATCAGCTGCAGCCCGCAACCCAGGCCTGTGCCCTGACCGGGAATCGAACCCTGATCGCCTGGATCCTAGGTCGATGCTTAACCGCTGAGCCACGCCCGGCCGGGCTAAGGCAGCAGTTTTCAACCATTTTCATCTCATGGCACATAAACTAATTACTAAAATTCTGCAGCACACCAAAACTACATTTTTTGCCAGTCTGACAAAAAAAAAGTATAATTTTGATTGATTTACTACTAATAATAATTACCTACCCTTTTTGCTCCAAAGTGACTTTTTAAAAAATCAGGTGCCTATACTTGTATATGAGGCTTTCTGGTTCCAAGGATTAACCCATCACCGCGACATGCAACATGCCCAGCAAGAGGCAGCTCTGCTGCGCGACCTGTGGTCTTCTTTCTTATTCTTTGTGTTCTTGGAGGTTTTCCCCTTCATTAAATTTCTTGTCATTTTAATAGGATTTAGAGAGGAAATTTAAAGATAAACACATGTTCAGACCACCATTTAAAAAATCAATGTTTTGCCCGGCCGGGTGTGGCTCAGCAGTTGAGCGTTGACCTGGGATCCAGGCGATCGGGGTTCGATTCCCAGTCAGGGCACATGCCCGGGTTGCAGGCTCCATCAATGACTCTCTCGTCATTGATGTTTCTGTCTCTCTCTCCACATCTCCTTTCCTCTCTCTGAAATCAATAGAGATACTTTTTTTAAAAAAAATCAATGTTTTGAAAGCACCCTGTGTGAGTGGTCTTTCCGCTCTTGTCTGTGAGATAATAGAAAGGCAGAGTATGAAATGAGTTTATCTAGTTAACACATTTTGAAAATTGTTTTCAGGATTTAGATGGTGTGTTTTTGATAATAAACATTCAGAAGGATGTGCTGTCACGGGAGACTGTTCATAGTTCATGGTGCTTACTGTTCATCCATCCCCATCAGCGTAGTTCTACAGTGTCTGTGTCACTGCAGCTATTTAAAGGTAACCCAGGAACATTCAAGAACTTGTTCAGCCACCTGTGAGCTGTGTGAGGACATACAGTGTTTCATAGTAACATTTATATGGTCATTTTTTTAAATCCATGATTCACAGAAGAATCCTAAATGATAGCATAGTTAAGTAAATTAGATTTGAGTTCTCATGACTTTACCCAGGACATCCAGATGAATTAGTAATTAGGATAAATACTTGTCTCTTGAGGATCATATTGGTTGTAGTTTTTATTAGAAGCTCGTGGCCTCTAAGCAGTTTTAATGCTGTAAGATACCCTTGAGTTACTGTAAATGACTCTGCTCCCTCTGGGTTTCAGCAAGATAATTACACGGTGTCCTGAATTTGGTGTTCTTGACCTCAGCCAGGCCAAATGAAGAATTTCTACAAAAAAGTCCATATCAGCGTTTCATGCCACAAAGTTCAGATGGAGCTAGCTTAGTAACTGAAAGTTTCTCTTCAGGAAATGGATTATTTAAAATTAGAGTATAAAATAAAGCAGTTGTAGAAATTTCAAGTAATGCAGTGAGGGAGTTATTTTTAATGTTGAAAATATTGCTGGACTTAGAGTGGCTGCCAGGAAAAAGGAATTTCAGGCCACAAGCTTCAGAGCAGGCAGGAACCTCCAGTGTATCAAACAAGCTTTCTGGAGGAGGCCCAGCAGCACTGGTCTGTGGGAACAGTTTGTCTTTGTGTTTGTGGGGCCTGAATTGTCCACTAAACAGAACACATAACAGCAGGGTTTAAAAGGCAGGTGGGCTGGTGGGAGGGTAATAGTTGGGGTGTGTTGGGGGATGAGCACTTCAGGTTCGGGTCACGTGCTGTAGGTATGGGGGTTCCTTCCTAAGCAGCGCCGCTGTTTCCTGTATGTTGTCAGTGGAGTCTGCACTGCTCTCTTCCTTCTGCAGTATTGGTCGGGTTGAGAGAGAAAAGTGTGTGGCTGAGTTTTGTTCTGCTCTTTGCCTGCCCTTGGCCGGGACAGATGTTCTGCCTCTTCCGCGCTGCACGCCTGGGCGCAGCCCTCTCTGTCAGTCAGGCCACGTCCCCTTGTCCCAGTGCTCAGGCGCCATGTGTGTCCACTAACACCCAGTAAGATTCTTCCCTGGAAAAATGTCCTCACAGAGGAGTTGTACTGTCATCAGCCCTTGTGAGGTTTCTCAGAACACGTGGTATCTCAGTTATGTTTTAAAAAGAATAGTATTTATGAGCGAAGCTACATTAAACTCAGTGACTGTCAAAATGTTAGTTCTTATTGTTCTCATAGAAGTCACCTGAAAATTTGGTCAGGAAAAGAAGAGAAAATCAACACAAATTTAACAACTATTCATGAGGGTATTAGATGTCATTGTAAGTAAGCTTTTTATATCACGTGAAGCAGCACTGAGAAGTGGGCTTGTTGTGGGTCTCAGACCAACACTCGGGACCATGAGTTAACTCACAGCAAGTGCAGGCACCTGGGGGGTGAAGTCCTGTGGCAGCCTCGGGGGGGAGGTCCCGTGGCAGCCTCGTGGGGAATTCCGTGGCAGCCTCGTGTGGGGGAGTCCTGTGGCAGCCTCGTGGGGGGAGTCCCGTGGTAGCCTCATGGGGGGAGTCCCGGGGAGTCCCGTGGCAGCCTCGTGCATGGTTCCAGGAATGACTGGCTCAGGTGGTCTTGGTCACAGGGGGCGGTGTCAGCCCTCGGGCGTGTTCTTCAGGACTCCCAAGCCATTGTAGGTGCTTCAGATGTGCAGAGAAGTTTTATAGTCAGCTTGTCAATTTCTACCAGTCAAGAAATCAAACTTCAGGATGTTTTGATTGTGATTGCAGTGAATCTGTACATCGTTTTGGGGAGAGCTGACAGTTTTTCAGGTCTTTTGATTAATGACTAGCTTCATTTATTTAAGTATTAGCAAATGTTTCTAGTGTTTTGATAGTTTTTGGTGGTGAGCTTTTGCACATTTTTCTTTAGATACATTCCTGGTTATTTGATCTTTGTGTGAGTGTATCATCATAAGTGACATTTTTAATTATTTATTTTCTAATTATTTTTGTTGCGAGTATATGGGAATCTATATTGACCTGTATCCAGCAAACTTTTAATTCTGTCGATTCTTTTGGATTTTCTGTGTACACCATCAACCAATACAAATGCAAATAGTTTTTACTTTTTCCTTTCTGACATTATACCTTTTATTTCATTTGTTCCCTAATGCACTAGCTAGGAACTCTGGGAAAATGTGGACATGGTGGTAATAGATGAAGTAGACAGAAAAAAGCTATGGAGAAACTGCCAGCCTACAGAGCCTTGGTTTTGTGCCTTTGGGTCCCCACTCAGCACCTAATTGAACACCCTGAAGCCTCAGATGAGTGGGATTCTCAGCGGCTGTCCAGTCTGACTGTGGTTTGACTCATTCGCTCCTTCACAGCATCCCTGCAGCCACTGCGAGGCCTGTGGGACTGGCCACAGATGTTTGTGAGCATGGCTGTTCCCACCTGAAAAAAGAGCAGCTGTCCAAGGAGAGGGCTGCATGATGGGAGCTGTGAGTCCTGAGCAGTAGGATTTGAGGCCGTGAAGACATGCCTGTCCCGGTGACAGATCCCTGGGGCCCCTGCTGC